GTGTAACTACTGGCTGGTGATCACTCAATACATCCTGATTTGTGTAAAATGGATTTTGATTTTCTATTAAATCCGATGTTGCGTCTTTTAATAAATTTTCGTATAAATATCGCTTTTTTACCGCAATGTTTTCTTCTGTGAGTTTTTGATTACATTTAGGCTGTGATTCAATTTCAATTTGTTTATACTTTTCCTTATTTGTAAGTGCATCACTCGTTATTTTTTCAAAACCATCATTTACTTTAATTGATTTCCTAATCGACTCATTTCTAGTTTTGTCTTCATTTTTATCATCATTGTCAGGCGTGGAAGTATCTGATGAAGTATTTGATGAATCGTGACGCATCTTTGTTAAAGTCTCATTGGATGGAGTCACAACAACGCGTTTGTTAATTTGATTGATAGCTTTCGTAATTACTTGCCCTGTGTTCCTTCTAAGATTTCTGATGTTTGTTCTTTTAATATTTTGTAGATTTGCGATTTCTTGTTTCAATTTTGATATCTCTACTCGTAACACACGAAGCTCGCTTTTGTACCTTGATTCAGCAGCATTCCATCTGCTTTCTTTGATGTTCAATTCATCCCTCAATTGTTCCAATTGCTCTTGCAGATTTTGCGCCTTTTGTCTTTCCATTTTACTTTGCTTTGCCTTCTCCTGAGAATCGCGAATTCTATTTTCCATTGCTATCTTCTCCCGCGCTATTCGCTTTTTCTCCTCTTGTAATTGGTTTTCTACTCTTCTTCTATTTTCCTCAAAATCCTTTTCCTTCTCTGCATATTGTTTACATCGAATCATCTCCTCTTCTTGTAATTTTCGGCGTTGAAACAACAAAGCTGAACTTTCCTTTCGAAATATGTCTATTTCTTTTTCAAGTTCTAATAAACGATTTTTTAAAAGGTCTGTTTCGGAAGTATTCATTTGATTAACATGTTCCTCAGATAAATAACAATCAACCTCTCTCACATTCGAACATATTTTCGCTATCTCTTCCGTTATTTTTTCCGACTCACTTTTCAACATATATTCTTTCCTTTTATGTGTACGTAACTCTGGAGTATCTAATGATAATGATGATGACGATAACGACGACGACAAAATAGATCGCTCTTCGTCAGATGTTTGAATAATTTCTTCAATTATTGAAGTAATTTCGTTATTATAGCCTGTATCTTTGTCGGACGATTCGTCATTATAATTTGAAGCATTTTCTTCTTCGAGAACATGTATAGTTTTCATCAAACGATTATATGAATTTTTTTTGTTATATCCTGTTACATCTTGCTGCAAAGACGATAGTCTTGGAGTGTCGACCGTTTTTTTATTGCTGATAATGTTCACAGGGGAATTATGAATTTGTTCCTCATAATTAAATGGCAGTTTCTCTTTGACATTGAATGATTCTAACGTATCAGTGGAACAATCATTCCAATCCTGTTGTTCGAGATAATCATTTAAAGAAGAATTACTTGCTATATCAGATACATCGATTGAATCTATGGTTCTATATTCATTATATTCTGAAAATCTAACATGATGACCGACATCCGCTTCACTTTCATATGTTAATTTAAGTTCATTTCTCATAGAAATGTCCCCCTCTTCATCACTATTCGACAATATTGTAGTAATAGATGTATCGTGATTTTCTGAGTGGTTTGTGTACACTTCATTGCTTTGCAACACTTGATTAGCAGGTATAAAACAGTTCTGTGTCCTTTCTGGGATATTATCAATATTTATAATATCCCCATAGGGATTGATAGTGGCGGCGTTAGTATGAGAATGTTCATGAAATTCAAACTGCTCAACCTGGCACTGTACATCTGATTTTAAATTTCCAGCGTGTGCAACTTGTTGAATCATTGGCTCGATCGTATCGCTTGTTTGTCCACTTTGCTGTTTTTTACTTGCCACAACGCTGTTCCCATTTGTTTGACCTAATTTATTCTTTATTTTAAATGGTGTAGACTGCTGTAAGAATGCGAGTACTGTACTTGAGGTTGAACAAAAACTAGAATTTTCCGCCTTTTCTTCCAAGAGTTCAAATATTCTTACTTCTTCTAATTCTCTCTCTGCTTTTGAATCACAGTCTGATATATTAGTTTCTGACAAATGTTTTGATCCATTAGAAGTAACGTTAGGTATGACTTGGTTAGCAGAAGTAATAGATTTATTAAAAGTCTTCTTCGGTAATGGAACAGTTTTTAAGCTTAATTGTCGCTTTCCATTTGCAATAGAAACATTATCCAGAATTTTTGGTGATACATGTCTACGTGCAACAGAGCTCTTGCACTTATTACCTCTATCAATATGTTGTGTATTAGAAGATAAAGGCGTGTTATACCTTTTCATAACTGCAATTGGAGGACGTAAATTTGCAGACATTTTAAATCTTGACAGTCCTTGACCTTTCTTTAAAAATGGTTTTTTTGTCTTAATCTTCGTATTTGTGTGTGCTTTTGACATAATTTCTGATTCTTTCCGTAATTTTTCTTCTAGTATTGTTTGAAAATCTTTTTTTGATGAAGAAAGAGGTATGTCATCAATTGAGACACAATTATTTGAAACATCATTCAATGAGAGTGACTTTATATCGTCATCAATTAAGATACAATTATTTGAAACATCATTCAATGAGAGTGGCTTTATACCTTCTATTAATAAATCACTTAATTCTTTTTTCTGTGACAATACACCAGAACTGTAATCTTTCATAGAACTTTTATTTTTATCAGCAACTGTAGAAATGCAATCTGATGAATCTTTACTTTTCTCCTGATTATAATCTTTGTATGCTGGAATAGCATTTGCTGATATTCTTTTATCGATTGTTTTTAATATGCCATCTGAATTTTTCACACTGTATTGAAGCTTTGAAGCATTATCAGGCATTGTTTCTTTTACATCCATCTCATTCTCCTGGATAACACATGTGTCCTTCATATTTTCAATAATATCAAAGTGTGTTGGCAAACCAAGTGCTTTATAAATGCGATCTTGTTCGTGACTTAAAATCTCCCTTTGCATTCGTTGTTGCTTCAATAATTTTTCTTGTTGTTCTATTTGCCATTGCTTTAATTTCTGCAAGCGCTCAGCTATAGACGCTTCTATATCCATGATATTTATATCTAAAATAGTTAAAACTTGAAAAATTATTTTTTTTTAACTCCTACCAGTAATTTTTTATGCATATAATAAAAATAAAAATAGCTTACTTAAAAAAGTATATAATGCCTTTTTTAAAGCATTGAAAAATGCAATATCAAATGAAGGATAGTTTGATACACATATAAATATATTTAAAGCTTAAACAAGACAAATTGCATTTGAGAATCATGAAAAAAAATTTGATGTCCAGATACTCTGAAAAAATATAATAAAATATAAATATAATTTATAAGTGGCATTTATAAATCTGTTCTTGCTAAAGTTTGATTTTATATTTAAAATCCTAAGGCCCTGTACACAATGGAAGAAACATCAGAGAGAGACAAGATTATATATTAAATATTAGAAAAATAAAAAATTAAGAATAGAGATTAAACGCGTACACAGGGCTGCGCACAAAAGAAAAAATATTAGAAATAAGAATACATGTTAAGATTTCAACCTATTAGAAATTAGTTGTATCAAAATACATGGTTTCTAATAAGTTGAAATCTTAATATTTATTCCTAATATTTCCTTCATTGGGCACAGGGTTTTACATACAATTAATACAAATAAGATATAAAATATATAAATATTTTATTTGTATCAACTGTAAGTTATGTTTAACCTCTATTTGCACCATTTAATATCTCTAATTATTTATTTATTCCTGTTTTTAATATTTCTTCTTTTCTATGTAGGGCCTAGTATTAAATAAATGTTATATATATATATATATA